AGTTTATACAAAAATATCACCCCTCTGGATCGATACATTTCATTCGTGTTTCTAATAATGAATTTGACAGGGCGCAATAATATGCTAGAAGACATGGTGGAAGTATCTTAGCTAAAACTAGGTGAATAAATAATCAGAATGTATTTCTCTGGACTTGTGAAAATGGACTGCATCAGTTTGAGTACCCATTTCCATTGATTGCAATGAAATTTGAGTAGTGTCCACTTTGCTTTCACAATAAGAATGAGCGATGCTGTAGATACATTTTTGAGGATTTATTAAATAAGAAGTTTCTACCATGTTCGGATAAATTTTTAGGTAGACTCAGACTTGATGAATATAACGAGGAATTGTGCTAGCATAGGAGCATCAAGGAGTACAACACTATCGATTAGTCCTAAAACACTTCCATCCTAATAGTGAGACTGACCTGGATATACAACAAAAACACGATCAAAAAAAGCAGGATATATATAAAAGAGAAGGCATAGACCTCATCGAAGTCCCGCATACGTGTGATTTGCTTTCATACATTTGTACTATATTGATCGAAAAAGGTTATCTACCAAATACAGATATTGAATAATTACAGTTAAGGAATAAGACCCAGTTCTCGAAAGATAACTAGAATTTTCTCGAATAGGTCTTTATAATACCAAACATATCTTAATGTTATCCAATTTTCTTCACAGAGTTCTTCTTTGAGTTGATCCCGAGTTTGCTGTTTCTCAAAATCTTCAAAATTTAGATGAAAGAATTTGATTTGATATTCATATTGTATACCTTGCACTTCAATCGCAAAGCCGTAATCATAGTATAGGATATCGAGTTCTAGTCCAGTTGAGTATTCTGGAGTTTTTAAGAAATTGGGTTTACGAATTGGCAAAGGTGGACCAAGATATTTTGTTATGATTTTGTGATATAAATCCTCACATTTCTTTGAACAGAAAGGATACCAGGTGTGTTGATTGTTAATAGCATTAAGAGTAGCAGTAAATATATAGTTATTTTCACATCGCTATAGTAAAAGTGAGTGATTATTATAATAAATTGTAGATATGCAATCTCCATTTCGATTAATTGCAATTTTTTTAGCATCCTCGATACTATGACGAGCTACTTTTGCACATTTTGAGTACTAAGAGTTACTAATTTTGACATGATGCAAACTTGCAAGAAATTCATGTCCTTTAGAGCAATACCAGAATAAATGTGAATAACTATTAATATATTCTGTTAAAAGACATTTTCTATTTCGACTAATTACAATTTGTCTAGCATCTTTAATAGTACAGCGAGCCACTTTTGCACAATGTGGACACCATGACTTGCTATATTTTATATGACCAAGAGATGTGTACCATTCATGATTATTCGAGCAACACCATAATGATAGATCTTTATTAGTAGTATATTGAGTAGAAAGACACTGTCTACCCGATTTCTAGCAATTGCACAAGCATCTTCTAAGGTTAATCTTTTTTTTAACATTCTGATAATAATTAAAGATATTTAAATGATAATTTAACATTACCTTTTCAACCAAAAAAGCAGGATATATATAAGTGAGAAGGTATAGATCTCATTGAGGTATCATTTGATTATGATTTGCTTCCCTATATTCATACTACATTGATATAAAAAGGTTATTTATCACATAAAGAATAATCTTGCAAAGATCATTATTTTTAAATATAATATAATTTAGTGTTACTTATCTTGATTAGGATGAAAACAGAAAAGCTCGATTCATGTAAAATATTTGTACTCAATATCGATGAGTATACTAAACCGGAATATTTTAATGGTATTAACTCATGTTCTCAGTGGCCTTTTAACTTATTAGTCAGTAGACGAACTAGATCTGAGAAAACAAATATGATTATTAGTCTTTTGCTTGGGGATAAGATGTTTCGAATATTTAGTAGAAAGAAAGATGGAACACGTTATATTAAAAATGATGATTTGATTTTAATTAGACATCACCTTAAGAAGCCAAAATATAAACATCTCTATGATTGCTACCAAATAATTGCAAATAGTCCAAAACCATATTGTGAAGATATTACATTCTGAGCATTAAAATATGACAAAATATCAAAGATAGAAGAATTTTCTCCTAAAAGAGGAACGGTTGCTATATTCGAAGATGTATGCAATGAATCCAAAAAAATACAAGATAAAATTACTCCCTACTTCACTGAAGGGCGCTACTCCAATATTAGCTCCATATATATTACACAATCATTCTTCGACTGTCCTAGAAAAATAAGAAAAAACCTAGATTACATCTGTTTATTTAATAGCTCAGATACCTATGATGAGCTAGTTAATATTGCTAGACGATATACAAAAAAATGGCATAATGTTGTTGATATACTTGATAAAAATTTGCAAGGTCAAGAGTTATTGTTATTGACTTGACTAGAGCAAAAGAGGACCCTCTTTATCTTCGTAAGGGTTGGGACAATGTTTTAAAATTAGATGAGTAGAACAAGATTTGCTTTTTTGCATTAATATAGTAGATATAGATCAATAATTATTTCTTAGCATCCACTTTGTAGCTATTTTTTCTAACAGTAATTTTGTCACATTAATATAACATACATCCTACTCGCCACTTCTTATAATATTGAGAAGATGCATGTCTCCAGCCGGTGTTGAAATTGAGGTGGGTGTAAAAAAAAAATAAACTCGCCATATTATCTATAATAGAAGATTTTTGTGTTCTGTAAAATAGGCTCATATGCAAAACTTTAAATATATATTACACTGTTAATTCTAAAAGACGTTTCTGAAATCTATCCTGTAATTGGTTTTTCTTTTTACCTATCCAATTATACGGAATATAATATTCATCGTATTTATTATTAATAAAGTGGCTGATCATATTAGAGTTACATCTCCTGTATATTGCAATTTGCTTAGTATTCCACAGATTGAATTGTTCTTGAGTTTGAGAATTTTTCATTTTACGAGAAGTTAGGCTTAGAAATTTCTCATCATCTGGAATATTATTATTCAGTAAACTCAACCAGGCAAATCGTGCATTTGATGGTTCTCTTTCTTTGAATTGGCGAAATGATTTTTGTATAATCTAAGCATATCCGAAATCAGTTTTTGGTTTATCATATTCATGGTCCCAATGATACTTCATCAAATCTGCTGGTTTAATCTTTTCAATATATCTATAGAGAGCAGAAGCATATACTTTCTTTAGTTTCACATCATTAACTTGAATCAATTGCCAGCAATTAAGACAAATTTTGTGAATTCTAGGTCTGTAGTAATCATGATTGACTAGCTTAGAATTTCCAAACCCTACATATAAACAGTGTATATAATATACACTTCTTTTCTTTTCAGAGACTAGCTCTTGTAAAGGAACTCTGACTCGAATAGCCCATTGTTGTGAAGTTTCATTGGGTCAAATAACTAATAGTGTATCATATCGTTTTTCAGTTTCAAAGAGTTTATCAAAGAATCGTTAATAATCATTAATACCACAATATTTGTAAATATATGATTCCACATATTTCATATCATATCCAGGACGATTATTAATGAGTTTTTACAATTTAGCTTTTTTATCAATAATAGTAGGGATAACAAGACCTGACATATTTAAAATTTTAATATACTTATTAGTACGTTTGGTGATTATATGAGTCTTATAGACCTAACAGATTTTATTAACTATATACTAATGAATATCGCAATTCAT